AGAGGACCCGCGGGCGCTCCTCCCCCCTCCCCTTTTTTATTATTTGTTTACACGCGCGGCCAATATCGCTTTGACCACGCCGCGAGAGCTCTCTGGAAACCAACGCGAACTGCTCGCTTGCGGTTCGATGTCCCATAAGTGCTCTCGTTGGCGGTTGCTGTGAGGTGGGGGTGGGGGTGTAAGGGGGTAAGGAAGGCAATTGTAAGGGGGTGAGTGATGGATAGTAATTGTAAAGGGGCGGGGGATGGATAGGGATTGTAAATGGAGGAAGACGGATAGCGATTGTAAAAGGGTGGGGGATGGATAGGGGATTGTGAAGGGTTGTGAAGATTGGGGGGGATTTAAGGGAGTGAGGTATGATTTGGGATTGTTCAGAGGTAGCATGGATGGGGATTGTAAGAGCAGGGGGATGTGGCGAGCTTACGAGGTAGGGGATGAAAGAAAATCGGAGTGGGAGGGAGATGGTTGGATATAACAAGGCGGCGTGGGTGGTCGGTGATCGGAAGGGGTGAGGAGAGATACGGTCTGCTGCTGTGGGAGGGTGATGCGGATGGAAACGACGGTGAAGCTACAATGGGAATGTAATGTATTTATTGTTAGTTCATTTCGTTGAAATAGCCTTTTCTTTTTTTAAGGTTTAAAGTGACAGATAGTCAGTCATTCAGTAATAAAAGAGGTATTTGTCGTCCGGAGGCATGTACGTGATCCTTTTCCCCATTTCCCACACCCTCACTTTATTCCTCCCCAGCACCGAGTCCTCTCCAGCCACCAACGTCAAAGCCTGCACTGACAGCGGCGTAGTCATCGCCTTTACCATTTGGCTCGGTGATCGTCGCCTCCAGTAACGGTCACCATCAGTGGCATCAGCGTTGCTCTTACTTAAAGTACAACTGCCACTTGTTCTGTGCGGGCGCCGCGTGACGCATGTTGTCGTATCACGTGATGGAAAAGGTGACAAAGTGCGGCGGAAGGCGTATGACTTAAGGGCAGTAAGGAAGGAGGGTGGCGGAGGCAGAGGGGGTGGGGGAAGACAGAACGGGCAGGTAATGTGGAAGAAGGTGGCCAGGGGAAGGGAAAAGTGTATGGAGAAAAACAGAACAGAAAATAAGAAAATAGTACACTGCTTCAAGAATATAGGGGGTATCGGGTCAGGTCAGGTAGAGGGGAAGGAAGTGAGAAATAGAAGAGATTCTCCTTGTTATTTGGTTGGATGTAGGTGTTATGAGTTCCAGTGTGATGCGCGGATGGTTGGCATCGGGTTGGGTGGATGTGGGAAGGAGCGAAAGGTTAAAGGATGGAAAAAAAACAGGGAGAAGAGAATGAGGAGGCAGAGAAATGAGAGAAGAGGAGGGAGATGAAAGGTCCGTGTGTAGGATTTCTGAGGAAAAGGAAAGAGGGATAGGGGGGGGGGCATAGATACGGAGGAGAAAGAACGGGGAAGAAGGTAAATAAGCAAGAATACTGGGAAGATACGCCGATAGGGAACTGCGAAGGGAAAGCAAGGAGGAGGATCGGGAGGAGTGGGATGGAGGCGAAGGAGGTTCGAGCACCTCCGGCCCGTAATTGGATGTCACCCGAGCCGGTGTGTGGAGGAGTCGTGTAGCGCCTTTATTGTCAGCTCCCACCAGCCACGCCCGCCCTCGCCCTCGCAGCCCTGTCCTCACGGCGCCCCGCGAGGCCCCTCCGTAGGGCATGCCGTGCGGGTAAGGGATGCACGCATAGTCCCTCTCTTACGCACACAGTCACTTACTCAACCATTCCTTCATTTACCTCTTCACTTAAGTCCTCTCTCTCTCTCTCTCTCTCTCTCTCTCTCTCTCTCTCTCTCTCTCTCTCTCTCTCTCTCTCTCTCTCTCTCTCTCTCTCTCTCTCACACACACACACACACACACACACACACACACACACACACACACACACACACACAGAGAGAGAGAGAGAGAGAGAGAGAGAGAGAGAGAGAGAGAGAGAGAGAGAGAGAGAGAGTACTAGAGACCAGAAGTACACACATATCAATAAAGTTGCATGGAATAATCGAATATGATAAAGATAATCGCAATTCCCGAGGCAAGTTGGTGGCTCTCCAGTGCCAAACGGGAAGGGGCGGAGGAGGGGGTGCTGGGTGCTGGCGTATGTGCCGTTAATCCCACTTACAATGTTGTTGATGGCGAGAGCTGCTTTGGGCGGGTTGGGTAGGGGTTGGGGTGGGAGTTCCCACCGAGATTAGCCCGCTCATTGCAAGAAGAGGACGTTCGGATACCGGTCGGAGTGTGGAGGCCTCGCATATTGTTGCACAGGAGAGGAGCTGAGCGGACGCGCAGGGAGCTTGGTCGGTCGGGTCGGGATGGTCGGATGAGTTGGGGGAAGAGGGGGCTGGGGGAGGGATCCCGAGGCCTTTGTTTACATAAGTTTTATGAGGGCAAGCGAGGGCGTGTGTGGCTTGCCTCGGCTTATTATGTCTTTGCTGTCTGAGTCGTTCTTTCTTATGAGACTCGGCCTCGTCTTTTGTATACAGCGAACATCTTGTGCTGTACGCTCGTGTAAATAATTTTCTTTCCTTCTATTTTTTCCGTTTTCTCGTTTTACATATTTTGTCTATTTTTCATGTTCACCTTTTCCTTGTCGATTTCTGTTTTTAAACTCAGGAACGGGTTGAATATCGTAAATACAAGAAAGGGATGAAGATGTAAAAAACAAATACACTTACGCAATGATTTTTATATTTGAATTCGGTTTTGAACTGGCTTGAATCCTGATACAACCGCCGGATTGACCATGAACTTGGCAAAAACAAATGCAGGCTTGAACTTGAACTCGCGGGAACCGCAAGCCAGTTGACGGTAGGAGGCCCCCCGTATGCCCTGTGCGCGTGAGCGTGGGCGGCAGTGGTGACACAGGTCATGCATTGTCGCGGTGGTGCTGCATCCAATAGCAGCATCCCCGATGGTAAGGAGTGTTGTTTATTGATCGATGTTGCTATGACGACCGCGAGAGGTCATGTGTCAAAGGTTGGTGTGATGTCATTCCTGGTAACAAAGACAGTCACAGACTGTGAGCCCTCATTCAAACGACTCGGTTGATATTTTTCTTTCATGAAATGAGGTAAAAGGTTCCATAATTAATAGGCAGAAATAGCCGTTTATAGTGATTCGTTGAGACGTTATTCCTTAATCTCGCTTTTCCATGAATACCTGAGAAAATATTGGCCAGAGCCCCTTCAGGGCATCCATTCATTTTACAAAGGAATAGAAATACGAAGAGTGACTCTGAAGGATCAAAGGGGCGTCTGCCTTCCTCAGATGTGTTACTCAGTATTAAAGTATCTTTACATCTCGCGCTCTGTTATTGGTGTCGTTGATGGTAGTTTTTAGTCGCAGGCTTCTTGACGGCGAGTCGCTGAATTCGCATTCGCTGAAGGTTAGTCTTCGTGTCACTGGGTAGGGACGGAGCTAAGAAAGACGGCAATGTAGAAAGCCAAGATTAATGTTTATATGACATTGTCTCATAACTCCCGTGACCTATCATGCTGATAAAGTAAATGAACAAGGGGGAATAGAGACCGTACTCCTCCGAAAGTTATCATTTACGGAGAAAAGGTTCACACATCCTTATTTACTGTTTTATTGGCCCTTTCCCCTCTCTCCAATGCATAACGTCTGTCATTATTACGCCAGGGTACGCACTAGATAATTGGGGAAAAATATGCAAACGTTACCCCCCCCCCCCCTTTCCCTTCTTGAGACTCAAATTCTTCTAACGAGCATACTTGTCTTTTATTATGTATGGGCGCATTGTGTTTATTTTCCGGCCAGTTGTTGTGTCATGCGGGTTTTTATTCGTCAGTACAAATGAATTTTAGGTCGTGTTTTATTTTATTTATTTATTTATTTTTGGTGGGCGGCGGTATGAGAGGAAATCCTGGTTGAACATGTCCCACGGGAGTTCTGCTGGAAATTGTTTTCCGACTTTTTGTTTCTCTTTTTTTCTTTCTTTCTTTCCCGTTTTCGTTTTTTATGAATGTTTTTTTTTTTCATGTCGTGACATTATAAGGTCTAATGTGAAATTGGGCACCACAGGGAGAAAGAGAGGGGGTGGAGGGAGAATGAGAACGAAGGAGAGGGGGGGAGAGTGGGAGAGTGTTAGGGAGGGAGAGGGAGAGGAAGGAAAAAGAGAGGGAGAGGGAGGGGAAGAGAGAATGAGAGGAAGGAAGATAGAACCGAGAGTGAAAGGAAAAAGAGAGGATAGAGAGGAGAGAGGGGGGAGGAAGGGGAAGAGGGAGGGAGGAGTTGGAAAGAGAGAGAAAGAGAAAAGGCAGAGAAAGAAAGAGAAAGAGAGGGGGGAGGAGAAGAGAGAGAGAGAGAATCCTAAATCTAATCTTTTTGTAATACATATCTGTCTAGCACAACAGTCACGTGTGTAATATTGATTTTTCTTTTTTTTTTTCTTTCACAAACTTCACACTCGTTCCATGCATATTGCGCGCATTACTTGGTGAGTGTGTGAGGAGGCAGCCACTCGGACATGCCTGAGCCCCTGTCATCTGCGCGGTATTGTGTTCGAGACAAAGTGACAAGAGACCAGAAGAATATCCCAATTTTGTTCTGTCAGAGATCATTTCTTCTCTCTTTCTCTCAGCCCCTCTATCTCTCTCTTTCTCTCAGCCCCCCCCCCCCCTCTCTCTCTCTCTCTCTCTCTCTCTCTCTCTCTCTCTCTCTCTCTCTCTCTCTCTCTCTCTCTCTCTCTCTCTCTCTCTCTCTCTCTCTCTCTTCCCCTTTCTCCCTCCCTCCCTCTCTCCCTCTCTCTTCCTCTCTCCCTTTCTCCTTCTCCAACATTAAAACACAGATTTTATATTGCATAGTTTTTTTTTAATTCTTTCTCTCGTTTTCTCCTCTCTACTCTCTCCTCTCTCTCCTCTCTCTTCTCTCCTCTCTCTCCTCTCCTCTCTCTCTCTCTCCTCTCTCTCTCTCTCCTCTCTCTCTCTCTCCTCTCTCTCTCTCTCCTCTCTCTCTCTCTCTCTCTCTCTCTCTCTCTCTCTCTCTCTCTCTCTCTCTCTCTCTCTCTCTCTCTCTCTCTCTCTCTCTCTCTCTCTCTCACTCTCTTTTCATCTCTTCCTCTCTTCCCTTCTCTCTTACACACTTTGATGAATATCCTGTGCTTCCTCGTCGTCCTTGCAGTTCCTCTGAACCGGGGCGGAAGCAGAGTTTCCTGTAGGGTTTAATTACCTTCCTGGCAGTAGCATCGTCGGCGCAAACATGGCTGCCTGTTGTTGCGGTAGTTCACATTTTCTGTATTCGTATTGGTCTGGTTGCCTATGGTTAAATCGTATTGCGGTAAGATTCGTAATTGGAAACACACGAAAGAAATGAAATTATATGAGGGGAAAAAAGATAACAAAATTTCAAACCCCCATCCCCACCGAAAAAAAAGTGTCCACGAACATTCCCCAGAAGGCTACACTAAGAATCGCCATCACACTCGACAGCACTCCTCGAAAAGGAACGCGAAACGAGACGTTCTGTCGAATTTATCAGCGCGTCACGACGGCTGACGGGTGGCAGAGGGGCAGGGGGCAAAACAGAACGAGTAGAAAGGTAAAGTCTGAAAAACATGTTGCCTGAAACAAAAGAGAATGGAGGAACGGAAGAAGGGGAAAGGGTGAGGAAAACAGGACGAAGAAAACTGAGGAAAGGGGATAGAAAAAAATGTAGTCTGATGATAAATATATTTTAATAAAGCGAAGTAAAAAATAGAGGAATATTCTCATAAGGAAAGAGAAAAAAGTGGACATGAAGGAAAATGATACATAATGCAATCAGGAAGAGTGAAATGCAGGAAATGCAAGACCGTGCTGATGTGCGTGAAGAATGCAAGGGCAGATAAGTTACAGAGACATCACGTTGGGGGAAACGAGCTGCTTGTGCTGAGATAGCGGCACCGGGAAAATCAATGTAACACATGTTAATCTCCCCTCGGCATCGTAGTTAATTAAGTATATTTGATCCCTATGTTTTTCAGCCCTCCGGTTGCTCTTGATTTGTTTCATTTGATTTTACTCCCTTTTCTCCCTTACTTTCATTTCACTCTCACTTTATCTTTCCTTTTCTCTCTCTTTCTCTTTCTTTTTCTCTCTCTTTCTCTTCCTCTCTCTCTTTCTCTCTCTTTCTCTTTCTCTCTCTCTTTCTCTTTCTCTTTCTCTCTCTCTTGCTCTCTCTCTTGCTCTCTCTCTCTCTCTCTCTCTCTCTCTCTCTCTCTCTCTCTCTCTCTCTCTCTCTCTCTCTCTCTCTCTCTCTCTCTCTCTCTCTCTCTCTCTCTCTCATTCACTCACCACTCACTCATTCACTCACTCACTCACTCGCTCGCTCGCTCGCTCACTTACTCATTTACTCATTCACTCTCTCCTCCTTTGATATTGGCCCTTATCAAGTTATATGATTAGAAATGTATTACTCAGCTGCTCCAAATGAGGTGGGCGTTCAATATGTCCGATTAAATCCCCGCCTATGATGCCCGCTATTACCGGGATTACAAACATTCTGCCTCACCTCTCGCCGCAGTCGCCGCCTGGCTCTCTTCTTGGGACAGCGATGGGCGGAGAGAGGAGAGGAAAGAGGAGAAAGGAGAGGAGGAGAGGGGCGTGGGGCGTGGGGGAGAAGAGAGATGGATAAAAAGAAAAGGGGATGTCCGAGGTAGAGGAGAGAAGCGAGGAGGAGAAGAGAAAATGAGAAGATAGAGTATTGGTAGACAGGAGGAGTGTGGAGGAAGAGGGGGGTGGAGAAATTAACGAGAATTCAGGGAAAATAACTTCAGTTGTAAATAAAGCGATGAAAGGAGGAGGAAGAGAAAGAGACGAAAGTGGGTGATCCGTCTTTGAAAGGAATATGAAAACGGATAAAGGTGAGAGAAAAGCGAAGCCCCAAGATGAAAAAAGTCAGAAGGAGAAAAATGAGGAAGGTGTTGATTTTTCCGAGTCTCCATGTGCCCAGTATTTCCTTAAGGCGTGTAGATTAAGGAGGTGAATTATCCGGCCGCGAGGAGCGTGAGAAGGCGTGCAGCGATGTTTATGAGGCGGTGCAGTGGCGTGTTTACACCCAGGGCGGTGAGACGGTCGCGTTTTATTTCCATGGCCCTCCCTTTGGCACTCTCCGCGCGCTCTTTATCGGGCGCTTTGTACAGTTATCGCCGGGTTGTTGACAGGTCGCGAGAGGGAGGTAGTTTGGCTCTATATTTGGCGAAGGTTCACGCTATGGCACTCCTGTTACACACTCTTACGGAGAGGGGACACCTTACTCCCAGCTTGTTGCCCTTAATGGGCATGTCTCATTAGTATGGATGACGCTTTCGGGGGTGGTCTGTCTATGGCAGTGGAGTGGGGCTCTGTGTGAGAGGAAGGGCTTTATGTATGTTGTATTTATAAGTGCACCTATGTTTTTATGTTCATGTTGTGCATGTGGGCGTACTTAACCATGATGGATTATTTATATTGTAAACATTAATTTGGGTCTATGGGCTGGACAGTCTATGAGAATATTTGCGTAAAAAAGACGGGGAGGGAAAGGAAAACTGTTTCATCGACGTCATAATAAGTCCATACGATCTTTATTACTTGCAACAGCGAGAAGGGGTTTGTAATTAGCTTTGATGTCTCGTGACCCTTCAAGATCCTTCAGGGTAATTAACCTCAATCACCTCTTCTCTCTTAATGAGGTGTGAGAGGCGAGCCATTATTCCTGAGATTCTTGAGGTCAGATTGGGTCAAGTAGAGCGCTCGTGCTGCCATCTCGTGCTTATAATTCGAATAGCCAATGCGGTGACACACTGGGTACTTAGTGTAATTGTGGTGGTAATGGGGATAATTGGGTTGGCTAATGAGGATTTTCTTGTGTTAGAATAACAGTTCCCGTAAAGTTATGTTATTGGTGATTACCGAAACGCAGAATCGGGGGATGAAGCATTTAGTTCACTATTGATGGAAATGTCAATGTTTGTTAAATTTTTTGTAACGATTTTTGGCGAGTAAACTGTTGTAAACCTATCGAATCTGATGACGTTTTATTACATGGAGTAATTACTGTCGTGATTAGGGTTGGAAGGGCCACGGGGCTAAAAAAAAACGTAGTTAAAATCATAAAGAGAACTTCGAATAGGGAAAAGAGATTCTGTTTTCATTCGTGTTTTATGGCTGATGTTCGCAGCAGCAATATCGCGTGGAACGCTTTATCAACGTTATTTCACAGTGTTGTGTTTTGTGAATAATTACCGTACTAATGGAAGGGTTTGCGAAATGGCTTGAATTCGTCACTGTATGATGTTACTGCCTGTGATGTAATTTGTATTCGAATATTAATTTTTAATTTGATTGGTTTAGCTCGATGGATTTGTTGGTTCTGGCTTAATTACTGATATTGTTTTTTATTGGAAGTTCCAATCTAGGGAATAGACAGCGGCCAATATCAGTAGTCTGTGTCCGGTTTTAATGCAAGGCAGATGCTAGGCTCTTCATTATATAATCATTGATTTCGTGATGGCTGGCTTGATTGTCGTATTGTTAAAGCAGCTTTGGCAGTTTGAGTTTGCGGGGAGTATCGTGTGTTTGTTTCTTTTGCTGCTTATTTGCTGGTGATTTTTTCAGATCATATTTTGTAGGAGAAAAGTAAAAGAAAATGGAACAGGTGTATTATATCGTAGTAATGCTTAGTAAACAGGATAGTGTAGTTCTATAGATTACATTGCTTCCATAAAAGAAATGATGTTCTTACCCTTTGACCTGACCTGGCCTGACCTACAGCCGCAGAAGGAGACGCCGCCGTGTACAAATTCCCGACCCACTCCCGACTCTTCGACCACCTGCGGACGTGTTTCAAAGGTAACCAACTAACCGGGCAGGCAGATAGGCCGGCAGGGCGGGAGTAGTGAGAGCGTGACCTAACCTGCCCGTCCTGCCGCACTCTGCCCACAGATGCCCGCGAGTGCCCGCGCTTAACCATAGTCGCCCTCGACCCCTCCCCTACGAGTTGCAGTGTGTACACGTAGTCACTAACTCATTTTCTGTTCCACCACCCCCCTTGTAGTGTCGAGACGCAGAGGGTTTGATTTTCCTGTTTGGTGTGACTAATGTGTAAAACTGTAGCACTACTCGTGAGTCTCCCGCTCCGCCCAGCCACTTCGCTGCCTCTGCTGGCCGCCCGTACCGTCACGCCATGTCCCTGGGAGGCGGCTCGCTGCACCGTGTATCAGTGGCGTCATGGCGCATCCGTTCGGTAAATTTGTTTTTTGTAGCGTAGTCCTTGCGATGTTGAGATGTGACTAACACGATTAAAATCTAATGTAGTATATGTACTCTTATAGTATGTTTATATTTCACCATCTCGTTACTCCCAGCGCTTCCCAATCCAGATGCATTATGTGTTATCGTAGATTCGAAGTCGTAACATACTAAGTAATGGCACCCAGTCAATGCGCTGCCCCGGTAAGTCTGAATTTGTTAGGCTTTATGGTACATTCACCGAGGCTGGAATCGGATCTGCTCTGACGCAGATTGTCTGTGGTTTCATTCGCACATATTGTACAGGCTTATTCCATCCTTAGTTATTTGTGAATACGTGAGGATATTATCCTTCTGATGTACGACGTTAGATGAATAGTGAAAATAAGAACAAAGTGCTCTCGGAACAAACAAATGTTGAAATAGCTTCGGCTCTTCACAGATTTTTAGAGGCGTATAGAGAATATATTGTAAAAAGAGAGGGTTAGAATGGATAATTTCACAAAACATGTTGATCTGTTCAGCGTATCGATTTGACGAGCTTCGCCAGAAATACGATGAAGACGGTGGAATGGGAAAGTCCAATAATTTCTCTAGTCCTTGGTATTACTCTTTCTCTTTCATGCCTTTTCAACAGATGACCCTGTAAGCTCTGTATAAAACGTACATCTACGATAAACATTAACAATTCACATAGTTAACGTCGTATTAATGACTGAAACGAATAATTGTGATTTCGACATCACAATTACCGCAGTTTTACCGTCATATGATGCAGCTCTACCAGGCTGTTGTATTTCTCTATGTTGTTTCAGAATACGAAGACTTGTCAGTACTCTGATAATGGATTATTATCGTCAATCCGCGACGTGTCACAATTGTACTCGCTTTTGGTACAGGCCGTCTCTTTTTATCACTGCAGTAGTATCATCGCGGTGAAATGCAGTTTAACAGTATCTGTGTTGTCATGACGTCAGTGTTGAAAGCCTTGGAATAGCCGCTGTTATGACGCCACAAAGGTTGAGAACGAGTTCTGCCTAGAGTCGGCCATGGCGTTTCAGTATGGATGAATGATGCACTGAAATGGCGACATCATATCGAGAAGTAATGGAAAGGCAGCAGAGTTGAGAGTGCGGCGGGAGAAGATATTGGTGTAGTGCGTGGGGGAGATACGGCACTGCTTCGCGTAGTCGGGTTGGGAAATTGCACCAGCGCGCATTTCAAGGCGATAGACATACAGTGCTCTCCTTTCAAACAAGAGGGGCATTATTTACAGTGCCTTACAGTAGCTTCAGCTCCTTGCTTGCTGGAAGAGAAGGAACAAGAAGTTTGGTGGAGGCAAGCACTGTAGCTAAGCAAGGTCAGGAGAAAAGAGCTGTGCTGACCACGGTGATAGTAGATAGTCTGTTTTTTTTCCTAGATGTAGAGGCTGTTTCCAAGGGTAACCTTTACGTCACAATGTTTCACAGTGGTGTATGGATGCGGAATGTGGGTGACAGTGGTATATCTGGGGACGAAGCATTGTGTGCATAGTTCGTAGCTGAAGATTTGTAGTTGTACTTCCTAGCTGTCCCCAGGTTGTTATTGAAAACAGATGTGCATTCCCGAGAGTTTAGTCTGCTAGGCTAAAAGTGTTCATAAAAGGGAAACGGAATATGGATTTTGGGATACATGAGACAGCGACTGTACTGTTCTTTAATTCCACGTTGACACGGTGATCGAAGCTAGAAGACGCTGCGTTGAACAGGTTTATTGAAAAAGGTGAGACAGCAATGTCAGAACCATTCCGTATTTGATCTTTATGATGGAATCTAGATTGGTTTCGAGACGACATTTGACCTTTTCAGTAAATGTGTTTGACGAAATTTAAATTTTGATAAGTTAACGGTGTTTCTTCTTTTGCGAATACAAAAGTTTCTTTCATTTAATATGTTTACTAAGAATAAACGAGAACTGAATCTGGAAATGGATTTCCAGCCAACACTCCCTCAAGGGGATCTTGCGACGAGAGAAACGAGATGGAAAGAATATCTTAATACCAAAAGTAATTAGTCCCGAATCAGTGTTTACGACTCTTGCTTGCCTCCAGGTAGCCAGGCTGATGGAGGCTGACTTCGGAAAATCTTCTTAGCTTGGTTATTGTTATGTAATTGGATTTCCCGGAACGAAAGGTCAACTATACTCGGTTATGGAGTCAGACCACCTTATCTTTCGAGGAATTTGGCCTAGAGCATCCGCAGTCACGAGGGGCATAGGCGCTGGCATTTGCATACATATTATACCGACTATATCCACCTCAGCGCACGCATTGGTTTACACGGTATGGAACATATGAACAAATATAGCTCGAAATCCATCCCGCTTTTTCCCCCGTCTCGCTGCCTCCTCCGGCGCCTCGTCACCCGAGGAAAACCTACCGCGTACAGTGATATTGTCGATAAATTAACGTTGCCGCCCGGGGTCTTAGCCAATTTTCCAGCCGGGCGCAGAAGGAGATTGTCAATATTCAAATCCAATTTCCGGAGGCAGGTAGACCTGAGGCCGGGATTTAGTCGAGAAGGTTGAGGCGGGGAGGCCTCGACGCACACGGCCTGCCACATGAACAGAACATGTGTGCACGTTTTGTGCATGTACGTAAACACACACACACACATAAACACACACACACACACACACAAACACACACAAACACACACAAACACACACAAACACACACAAACACACACAAACACACACACACACAAACACACACACACACACAAACACACACACACACACACACACACACACACACACACACACACACACACACACACACACACACACACACACACACACACACACACACACACACACACACAAACACACACACACACACACAAACACACACACACACACAAACACACACACACACACAAACACACACACACACACAAACACACACACACACACAAACACACACACACACACAAACACACACAAACACACACACACACACACACACACAAACACACACACACACACACACACACACACACACACACACACACACACACACACACACACACACACACACACACACACACACACACACACACACACGCACACACACACAAACACCCACACACACATAAACACACACACACACACACACACACACACACACACACACACACACACACACACACACACACACACACACACACACACACACACAATATGTATAGAGACATGCATGCAGACAAATAATTAACAGACAGATATAAAGCTCACAAGTTTGTTTTTTTATCGAGATAATAGATAGTTATATCTACTAAGTCACTTGGTGGGCCTTTTTTGTTCGTTTTAATTTAGCACGCGTGTTTAAGTCAGACAGTTAATCGGGAAATCAGTCATTTGGTGGACGAATTAGGCCCAAATTTCTCCAGCTCGCAAATTAAATAATTAATTTTGATTACATTTTTATGCTAATTTGATATTTGCATAATTGCGTAATAAGGTAAAGAGATAATTGGATACACATGGAATTCTTCAGGTGGTCACCCAAGGCATTACTTTGTTTTTAAGTTCAGTTACTTTAAAGACGTGGCATTTTTATGGTCATCGACGAAAGCGATTGGTGCAATTGAGATAAAGTTGATAGACCTGTTGTCTTCAATGCTCGTTATCGCCAAAATAAACGGTAATCTGCGAGTTCCTGGCCCTGTTTTTGATCTCATAGTTATGTCGAGGAATATGAATTAAAGTAAGACCTTATGCTGCTTTGTCATTACTGTTTCTTCTCAGTCTTTGATAACATTTTCCATGATAACTTTCCCGCAATGCCCTGTTTCCTTTGAGCCTCCTTCGCACATTTGTTGAGGGCCTTTCCCTCCGTATGTCTCCGCACGATTCTCGGGAGGGATCTGCCGGGATGTGATGCGGTGGAGCAATTATATTCTGACATGATGAATGCTTCTTGTTGCACAATCCCTTAAGCTTCTCGTCTCCCCCCCCCCCTTCATTCCTCTCCGTTTTTTTATGCGATGCGTCTATTAGTGGGACCTCTTCTGGGTCTTTTTTTTCTTCTTTTTCTCACTTTCTGACATTGTGTGGTTTCATTTCATATGACTTATCCAATTCGACGATGGCATTCTATCCAACGGCCAGTACTTCTAGCGTTTCCATTACCACGTCAAATACTGTCATCACGAACAATCGTGTTCCACTTCGTAATAATGTCGACGCCGTCCGGCCTCCCCCGAAATATCACCTCCGCCGCCGCCGCCGCCGTCTGCGCAACCGTGCCTGTTAGCGACTCCACCTCTGTGTACAGTGCCACCGCCGTCGCTGCCACCTCTAATACCCTCGCCTCCGATGCTAAAGGCTCTCTCACTCGGCCCGGCCCCGGAGTGACGTTTAATTAAGAACCACACACGAGTCATTTGCATATTTTACCGTCTGGGGCGCTGCTGCCGGAACAGAATGGAACGGCGAGAGAGGGATGGAGGCAGGGAAGGAAGGCCTGCGATGGGGATGGAGGCTGTGTTGAGCGAGGGAATTGTGGGTGAGTGTGTGGGAAAGGAGTAAGAGTGAGAACAAGAGTGTAAAAGATTCAAAGATAGAATAAAGGAAAAGAGAGATGAGGAGAGAGAGTCGAAGTGTGAAAGAAGAGAGCGAGAGAATGAAAGGAGAAAGAGAAAGTCTTAATGAGAGAGAGAGAGAGAGAGAGAGAGAGAGAGAGAGAGAGAGAGAGAGAGAGAGAGAGAGAGAGAGAGAGAGAGAGAGAGAGAGAGAGAGTGAGTGAGAGAGAGAGTGTGAGTGAGTGCGTGCGTGTGCGTGTGCGTGTGTGTGTGTGTGTGTGTGTGTGTGTGTGTGTGTGTGTGTGTGTGTGTGTGTGTGTGTGTGTGTGTGTGTGTGTGTGTGTGTGTGTGTGTGTGTGTGTGTGTGTGTGTGTGTGTGTGGCGGAGACAGAGACACACAGATGAAGGGAGGATTTTAACTAGCCCCGAATATGAGTTGATTACTCTGCATGGTAGTGAGTGATTAACTGTAAGTACTGACAGATTTCGGGACAGAACTTACACAAAACACATGAGCAGCAGTTCGTTTCAAGTTTACTTTAGTTACCCGCCATTTAGCACGGACCACCATTTCAGAAAACCAAGAACCCGAACATAGAAAACGGTTGTTCTTGTATTCCAGCAGTGACTCTACGAATTATTTGTTGAACTCCGTTTCGCCATTTGACACTTTCCCTCTTCCTTTTCAGTATCGAAGCTTCGAGAACACTGGGATGAGACGAACAGCGTCGTGCTGGCTCGAAAGACGCAGCTGGATGCCATGTACGCTGACACCCACAAGTTCGACGCCAAGCGCGCCGAGCTAGAGACATGGCTCGCGAGGATGGAAGCCCGCCTGGAAAGGATGGCGCCAGTGGCCCACACCGCCGACGTCCTCGACCAGCAGATTAGGGAGCAGAAGGTAAATTTACATAATTGAGTCCTTTCGGTTAGGCTTTCCGAAGGTTCTGATGGAGAATTTATGCTTGCTGTATTATTTTCCATAATATTCATATGGTAGTTTGATTATGAATATGCCATGTTCGTCTTGGAGTGCCACGAGCACTGGCTGGCATATCAGCATCTTGTCAAAAGATAGATACATGTATTATGAAAGATTCTGTAGATTTTTTCACTCGATTGATTAACAATACGGTTTTATAACGATAGATCGACAGAATGGTTAGTGTTCAATGA